GTTTGCTGATAATATGTTTTGTAAATATAAAGAAAAATAGAGTGCTAAATTAATGCAGGATTAAAAGGGCCTTAACTTAACCCTCCATGACTAACAGGTCTAACAGAACACCATGACACTACCAGTGTTTGGTAAGGTTGCAGGCATAACAAAAGAACCATCAACAGATAATTCTTTAACTTTCCATCAGGGAGCGAATAGGCACTGTTAAGTCAGGGGATTGGCCCATTGATTATCTTTAGTTCGCAGTGTATTTATTTAAGTCTCTTGTTTTCATTCAGAAATTTCCAATCATATACTGGTTCTGTACTTTTTTTTTGTTATTTTTTCGTAGCTGAGGACAAGTGAAGGCGCAGGAGGCTATAGCAACTTGACATAGTGGGCCTCTTTAACATTTTCCAGATGTGTGCGGAGTGAATGTATGGAACCCATACATGTTAATACCATTGGCAAAGCACCAGATAGTCAGTCTGCCATGCTTATGAGAACTACGTCAAACTTTATAGGACAGTGCTCTTTTGTTCTCTTTGTCAAACTGCACTTTCCCTTGTGGTCTTTACATTTTTTTTCCTTGCCAAACATTAAATGAAATATACTTGAACAGAATTCCTGAGAGTTTTATATCACTCTGAGAAAACAGAACATCTTGCATTGATTCTCCACACTTACATTGGATATTCACAGTCCTGTTTGTTGGACTGCAACCTCAGGTCAAATAAAACTTGTACATATCACAAATTTACCTAAAGGGGCTTTAAAAGGGATCAAGAATCTCAGTTGTGATACAAAAAGAAAACGTATTTTTTTCATGGTGAAAAGAAAGTATATCCGCCCCCTTTTCTAAGGTTTTACATCTCAGGATATTGCAAAAAAGGAATTAGTCATTCGTAGGTCTTAAATTTAAATTAATACAGCTTGAATTGAACAACAAAACATGATGTATTACATTGTGCCATTATTTAAGTAAATGTAGAAACTGTGTGTGAAAAACTGAATGCACCCCATGATTCAGTAGCACCTTTTATAGGGATAGTTTGAAGCAATAATAAAGGTTTGCGGGGCATCATTTTATTCACAGCTCTCTTAAGGTCTCATTGGAAAACTGTGATCAGATTGAATTCCAGACTTTGACTGTGACATTGCAACACCTTTATTATTTTCTTTTGTCAGCCATTGTGTTATATGTTGGGCTCACTCTCCAGTTGTATGACCAATTTCAGTCAGACAGATGGCTTCACAATTGACTTCAGAAAACTTTGGTATACAGAGTTCATGATAAACTCAATGACTGCAAGGAGTCCAGATCCTGTGGTTATGAAACAAGCCCAATCTGCAGCCGTGCTAACATTTGGTGTGAGGTGTTTGTGCTGATATGCTGTGTTTGGTTCTGCCAGACATGCCACAAGAAGTCTGGTGGTTTATTCTGAGGCAGTTTTACAAACCAATGCCGTGCTGTCTTCCTTTTAGAGAAAAGATGCTTTTTCCTGGCAAACTTTCCAAACAAGCCATACTGGTTCACTCTGTTTCTAATTGTACTGTCATGAACTTTTAACATTTAACATGCTTACTGAGGTCTGTGGAATTTGTAGTTCTTGATTTTTTCCCTGAGAGTCCCTGAGCCTGTGCTTAATTTGCTTAATTTGCTTAGACATCCACTCTGGATACAAACTGACAGCTGATATCAATGTTTTCCACTTGTTTCTGTAAGATCAGTGTTGATGTATTTCCTTCTTGGCATTGTGTTAACACACACCCGAATGCTCCAGACTAGCAAACTGCCAAAACGTCTGCTTTTATAGAAATCCTCAAAGTTGCTGGTGATTAAATAATCAAGGGCATTCAATTATCAGGATCTGACCTCTACTTACCCTCTTAATTCTTTTGGGAGAAGGGAGGGTGTACTTATTTTTACCATGTAACCTCTACATTTTGACTTAATTTTTGTTAAATAAATAATTACATGGTATAATATGTCATGTTTTGTAATTCTTCTGAGGCTGTATTTACCCAATTGTAAGACCTAATAAGGACCAGATTATGCACTGAAATCTTATAATTGATATAACTGACATCCTCTTATAATTGACATTATCAATTATAAGAGGATGTCTCTCTACATGCAGGCCTAATATTTGGTGCCTTTTTAATGAAAACGTTTAATAAATCAAAATAACATGTAAAAGTAATACAGTCTGATTACAAGTGATTAAGCGGTCTCTGTTTATAATTTTATAAAATTTATAAAAATAGAAATCATAGCCACCGGAAGCGGAAATGACATCACGATGGCCCCGGTCTCTAATGGCTGAACAACAACAACTGTCGGCGACTGACAAACTTTCGCAAACTTCATCAGAGACAAAAGAAAGTTGGAGATATCGGCTTGTGTTGTTTCTGTAACCGGTTAGGGTTATTTGTCTGTTCGTCTTATAGTCACAAATGTGGGATTACTGATGGATCCGAGGTATGATATTCCACGGAGGGCCGCCGGCGGTGGCGGCGGGGGCTCCGCGAACTCGTCCCCCGCTCTGGGGGCTCAGTCACGCCGCAGGAAGATGCCTCCCAGACCCGCTGATTTCAAACTTCAGATTATCATTATTGGCTCTCGTGGTGTTGGTAAAACAAGTCTCATGGAAAGATTTACCGACGACACTTTCTGCGAAGCTTGCAAGTCAACCGTAGGTGAGGACAGAAGGCATTAAAAGATTTAGTTTTTTCGACTACTTTTCATTTAATCAGCTACAACATGTAGAAGGGCTCTGGCTAAATACTCGAGGAGAAATGCGTAAACTACTGTGGGGTGCGCTCAGTGACCATAAATCCTCCAAGTTCACTTGCATAGCGACTAAACTTTATTTCCAATGCTAGCTGTAGCTCGCTAGGTATGTTGATAACATTATCTTAGCCAGTTGACTATGGTGACTGAAGTAACAATAGCATTTCCTTTGACTTCAATCACATGAACTAGGCTTCCTTAAGCTTTTTTAACGTTTGCATGTAGAGATTTTAGACTTCTGCTAAAGGACAGCGTTTTTATTAATTAAATACAAATGAATAATTGTACTTTATTACTGTTCTGATAATATTTGCAGAATATTATATTATAGGTATCATGGGTCTGAATTACTGTTTACTTCTAGTAACCCTGTTTTGGTTATGTTAACCAGGAAGTAGTCTTATCCAATACTACCTTGATTTTACTGATATATCTCTACACAGAGAACTAACATGTTGCATATTTCTACATAAAAACACATTCTTTAATTATTTGATTATTTGACCCCTGGTATGTTTACTTACTAAACACGAGATTGCCTTGTGACAAATTGCCAGTCATGTTTGCAGATTAAAAATACACATGAGATCTGTTTATACATACAGCTGGGTAAACAGTCCTATGACCAGTCCGGCAGCCAGCCATAGTGTCCAGTCCCAAAATAGTCTAAAAGAAGCAGCTGCTAAAGCAGAGCTCCATTTTGTGTCCTGTCACTCCCTGACACAGCTCATAAGTTGTGTGAGATGTGTCACTAATAACATGCTTCTTTGATTAGGTACCACAGAGGGAATAGTTTTACAGTCTCCCAGCCTGTCTGAAAAAGTTGCCTCAGACGAGCTGGGTGATGCAATGTGGCTTGTATTGTTTTGTGGATGGCTCAGTGAGTGCTCCACATCTATTAAATCTACTAACACTAGAACTTATGGGCAAAGTCTTGAACTTGTGCCTTTGTTCACATGTTTTGGTTCCCTCATAGGAGTTGACTTCAAAATCAAGACGGTTGAGCTGAGAGGGAAGAAGATTAGACTACAGATATGGTAAGTGAGGAGTTCCTTTACTTTCCTGCCTGTTGCATGTCCTCTGTCTCTCTGTCCGTCCTATCAGCATGCAGGCTTCACTAACAAAAGCTGCTGTTTGGCTTACTGGGTGTATTCCAGCTGTGTTTCTTGCATGTTTCTCCATGTCAACATGTTTTTGTACAGATTCCCAGTGTCATGCAAACCACATCATCATTGCTCACCATGTTGTCTGAGGTTTCAGATTGCTTGTTTATATCAGGTACTGCTGTTGTTACTAGGAATATCTCGTCACTATTTCTTTACTGATATCTTGAGTATCTGCAGGTGCTGGTGTGCTCTTTTCGCCTAACAACTAAGCTGTTACTACTAGATTTGTGTGAATGCATTTGACCTACCTCGGCTGTCTAAAAACATAAATGGTTCTACTTTCCTAAAGGTTGTACCCATGAGCTGTGAAATTATGTAGTCAAGACTCGGTGGATTCGTGTCTGAATCTGCCAGATCTGACCTAGGAGAACTGAGAGACCATGTGAGAATAAAGCAGGAAATTGTCTTGTGAAGTTACACTGAGTCGGTGTCATTTGTCAAAGCTCCTGCATGATCTGTTCCTGCACTCCCCCACAAAACAACCAGCCATGCATCCCTGCTTTAACTTATCCTGTTTAGAGGGTTAGAGCCTATACCAGCTATCATAGGGTGAGAGGCGGGGTACACCGGTTGGACAGGTTGGAAATCCATCAACAGAAACAAATAAAGTATTTTCCAGTACCGACAATCTTCTTTTCTCAAGTTATTTCAGTTTTATTTATGTAGCACCAACTAAGAACCACAGTTGTTTCAATGTTATATAGTAAGGTAGTGAGACTATCTTTTAAATGATCCCCTATTAACCAAGCACTTGTTGATGGTGGGAGGGAAAAACCTCCCTTTTAACAGGAGCTCAGAGTCATCTACTATCACCAATCTAGGGGTAAAGGGTAAAAGAAGGCAAAAAAAAAAGGAAAGCAAAGAAAGACCATGCACAATAGTTAATGACATGCACTAGTGGCCTATAAACACATGGGGGGTGAAAAAATGCTTAGAACCTTAGTACCCCGACTTCCTCCTAATTAAAATGTTATAATAGTTGTGTGGTTAAAATGGTAAAACCAAAACAGAGCAAATGCTATTCTTAGCATAGTAGTGATTCTATCCAGACCCCATCAGTGGGTTGCAATGAGTGTACTTTATTATCAGTGGTTGAGAGTGACGTCAGTGAAGTCTCACCTTGGCCAGTCCACCAGCAGCTCTTTGTGGTTAGTAAGGACAGCATGACCTAATGTGTTCAAAATATTTTCTGATGAAGGTCCTTGGTGGCATGCCCAGATTGAAATAGTTATATCCACAGATCCTGGTACTAATAAATATAAGAAATGTAATGCAGACTACACTTCATTAGGTTTTTCTAATAGTTGGGCTTACTGTAGCAGAAAACTTTATTTTCCTCACGTAATGCAAATGCCTGCAAAATTGTATCGTACCCTAACACAGGCAATCCACCAGGGTTGTTATCAACTTGACAAGTCAGCTCTGGGTTTTCCAGTCAAACTGACTGTATTCACAAGGAAAAAAACAAATTTGGCTTCACATGGCCAACCCAGAGAATGAGAGTAATACTATATTCCAATGTATTTAAAAAAACAGAAGACCAAGTTATATTAGGGGAAAATGCAAATTGCATGTAAAGTTAATATTAGGCTTCAGGCTTATAAGAAAGGTAAATGGAAGCAAGCAAACGAGCGAGGACTAAAAGTGTCTGTAAGGATCTGTGTGTTCTGAATAAAAACTGTAGATCCTCTTAGTATCTGCACACTGAGGTGCAAGGGCTTTTCCAGACAATTGCTTGGTCGCTAGGTCTTATGCTGACCTTTTGTCTTGGACGTGATCTACTATGGCGCAGGTTACGTGTGCGTACGTGTATTAGTTACCATGGCGATGTAAAACTGGAAACCCAGGGTTAAGCCTGAAGTCACTTAAGCACCAAATCCTGCTTCGTGGTGGAGTTCTGAGGTTGGTGGTTATTCCAGCTTTTTGTTGTTTATCTGCTCTAAAGGAAAACTGAAGCATGAACCAAAACTATAGATTTGGAGGTTTGTTACATCCCTGTTTGTTAATAAAATAATGAGTAATAGCATTATCAGTCAGTTAATGGTACATATTAGACTGTGTTTAGTGTCATTGAGTAATTAGCGTTAACCATACAGTGACTTTACAAACATTACATACTGTGCTGTTGCAGCTTAATACTCGCACTAAATAGCTAAATGTAATGTGCTCTTTGCAGAAATCACAGATGTATGCAGTGAAATCTTAAATCAGTCTCATATTGTCTCATATCTCAGTCAATTAGTGACAAGATGTTATTTGATACTGTTATCCTGTTGCCGTCTTGTGACCTCAGTTAGGCTCTGATTTCATTTTGAAAACATTTGGTGTCCAACAACTGAAGAGCTGCTTCAGCTACAGACTTATTACATGCAAGTGTGTGACGATGCTTGGTTAAAATGTGGGAGCGCTATCTTTTATTTCCATACATATCTGTCTTGCTCCCATCCACCATCACCGCAGCACATCCTCCCTTCACACCTCTGCCTGTCCTCCACCTGTCAGACGAGGAGTATCACTGTGTGTATGTTTCTCATGTTGCACTGCTCACATCAAGCTCCAACACTGCCGCGCCCAACCTTACCTAACCCTGCCATTGTGCTGCTGTCTCTGTCTGCTCTTCTGCTCATAAGCCTGACTGTGACTCACAGGGGAAAGGGAGAGACTATCTGGCTGGAGGTACAGTAACAATGCACTGTGAGTGTGGCTCAAACTGCTTGTCATGCTGCCAGTCCAGACTCGGATGATCAGCCGAGTGTGGTCATATTTCAAATTAAATATGAAACTGAAGAGTTACCTTCCGAAAATGCAACATTATAAAGTGCATGCGTATTTAATAACCCGTAATAGCTAATATTGCTACAGTTATATTGCTAATATCGACTTTATCTCGTCTTCTTTCAAAGTCTAAAAGTGACATTTTGGAACAAAACTCTTCAGTGGTGTGTTTTTCTGTTTAGTTTAATAGATGACGATGTGAAGCTTTAGACAGTGATTCAGTGTTTTAAAACCAATAGCATGTCTACTATCTCAATAAATGACAAATTCTTACACTAATTTATGATGTAACATTTCTGCTAAATTACCACAGAAATTACATGTTCATACACTTTTATGTATTGTCTTTAAAAACCAGTTACCTATTAATCAAATTTAATTAATGGAAAACACAATCAAAAAACTATGGGTTAATCTGTTCTCACATGATTGAGTTTTTATAATGTGTGATCTCTTTCAGGGACACCGCAGGCCAGGAGAGGTTCAACAGCATCACATCAGCATACTACAGAGGAGCCAAGGGAATTGTGCTTGTGTATGATATCACAAAACAGGAGACCTTTGAGGACCTTCCCAAGTGGATGAAAATGATTGACAAGGTAAACTAAAGTCCAGCGTGTCAGGGAGTGTGTATTATGTTTTTCTTTCTTTTTATTACAACTCCTCCCTTTTCTCTTATAAAATGAAACATGAATTTAGTTTATCTATTTATTCCATGATATTTATCCTACAGTTCTGCCTTTTTCTATAAAGGGGACCAATTCCAACTGGGACTGATCAAAAACTAGGCCTTGGTGTTGCCCCTCAGTTCAAATGATTTGTGCTGAATAATACTATAAGTATTTGAAAATCCATGTGTGGGAATATGTGTCTTTTTACTGTAGATTTTCCTGTCTGTGATATGATATGATGAAGATTTAACTGCAGTAATCTGATTTGACTTTTGTGAGACGGTAGGCCGGTGATTTCCTGACTTGTGTCTGCTGTGGTCTGTTTTCCATCAGTACGCCTCAGAGGAAGCAGAGCTTCTGCTGGTCGGGAACAAGCTGGACTGTGAGACTGATCGCATCATCTCCAGGCAACAAGGAGAGAGGGTGGGTTCAACAGCAAAGTCCTTAACCGTCTTATTACTGCACCGCACCTTCAGGTTTTACCCGTCAGCCGCAAAAGGTTAATGGGGTTGCTGCCATTGTCCAGCCAGGCAGGCAAGCTGGACACACAAATTTGTGAGTCCAATAACTTGAGAAAAAGATGACATAAGATTTTGAAATTGATACCATTGGTGGAACTACCAGGACGCTGAGGGGTTGTACTGGCAGCCACCAGTATTTTACAAATCTGAATAATCTAAACATCTAAGATTAGATAAAACAGGCCAAACAGTAGATTATTTGACAGCAAAAAACCCAAACAAAAAAATCTGTAATGCAAATAGTTTGACAGGTATGTACTTCATACTAAAAACTGAGTTAATAATATGCCAGTGAATCAACTGTGCACTTGAAGAGTGTTTGGAGCTTTCTTCAATTTAATTTGTGCTCCTGAGGATTGAGTTTGGGTTTCCATGCCGACTCTAACCCCGAGCTCGTTTTGTTTCACTTGTTTTATAGTTTGCCTCTCGAATAAGTGGAATGCGCTTCTGCGAAGCTAGTGCGAAGGATAATTTTAATGTGGATGAAATCTTCCTGAAGCTTGTGGACGACATTCTTAGCAAGGTGAGGTTAAGTGCGCCTGAAATACATTTTACACAATGTTTGGTTCATTTTGGTTCACTTTGAGTTTTTATGAATGAAAGTAGACGGGTAAACATGAAGTCATGTAGATCAACACATAAAACATTTACTATACATTTTTGGTGATGTCATCGTATAGCGCAACCAAACTCATGTAGAGGGGCTCAGATTCTAGTGACTGATAGCAATAAATACTTATTTATTTTCTATCATATAGAAGTAATTTATCAGCTGAGTCAAGTAGTGTAAAAATGATACATATATTTTGATGGTTTTGATTCTAAGTGATTAACTCACTATCTTGACAGTGGACATCATCACACTGATTTTATTGTTTTTCAGCTCTTCCATTCATACTAATATTATATCTGGTTTCTCAGTTGTGCATTAATACACCAAAAAGGCTACACCGGAGTGTGCTTGGAACCAAAGTGCATGGAACACGTCCGAAATTTGTTTGATCTGAACCAAACCGACTGTTTTCACACATGAACTCCAGATAGTGTCCATAAAATCATGCCTTCATGTCTTAATGTTTGCAAAGGTGCCCTTTTTCAATCGTAGCACACAGCAGGAGATGATTTGCTTCAAATGCGATCTCTCTGCTGGAAGTATTCTTTGAGGTTCAGGAGAGGATGCTGCCTGGGTAGAAAGTGCAGGAGTCATTACATGTGACGTCCACTCCAAACCACCGGTTTATTATCTGTGCTGTTCTCATTATTGATTCAACTGGGCATCATGTAGACTTTGTATTGGGATACGGGAACGTTGAAGACTGACTGCGCTTGATATATGTGTTCTCATTTTTATGCGGGTGTGATATTTTCCACTTATGTACATATGTGGGAGTCCACTCGGGTCCAAATTACAAAATCAGATCCAGCCTCTGCACACATGTGCATGTCTGCCAGTTTTTTTTGTTTTGTTTTTTTGTAACACACTACATATACTCTGCTGCAGAGATGCTACAAAGCACCAAATATGCATTTGCATATTACCTCTACTTCAGAGAACTGTAACATGACTGATCACTTGTCTGTGTTTGCAGCTGTTCAGTGTCCATTAAAGCTCAGTGCTGCAGGACATGTGTGGGAATGACTTGTGTAAACGCACCATTCATTTAGTGGCCTATTAAATTTGAATTGACATTTGTCTTGTCATGTGTTTGCTTTTTGCCTTGTTTCGCTTACTTAGATGATGGAAGAGCTATTTAAAAACTTGCCTAATACACTCACAGGAAAATTGTTAAAGGAATCTGATTCTTTTCCATCGTATTGTTTTATTACTTTAGTCTTTTGTTTGTTTGTTTTAATCTATCTGTCGATGGTGTTGCTTGTCACACTCTGTTTGGCGGCTGCTGATGTCACTTTGTCTGTGATCCAACAGATGCCTCTGGAAGTTCCCAACAAGGAGCTTTCCAACAGTGTCCTGTCTCTGCAGCCTGAACCGGAAGTGCCACCGGAGTTGCCCCCTCCTCGCATGCGCTGTTGCTGAGAGTCGGAGTGGTCCCCCACCCTACCTATACACACACACACACACACACACACACACACACACACACACACACACACAGCTCACACATGCAGAGTACCAATCTGGCCACTGGGGGGCAGCACACAGCAGCACTCTGGAATCAGTGACTGCTGAAATGCATGGACTCTTTAAACAAGCAGTGTTATCTTCCTTTGATTATTCTCCTGTTTTGTAACTGTACACTATGACCTGCTTCACACTAACACTTAGGCCTGAATCACCCACTTCCTTCCACCTTTTTGTCAACACTTGACCCAGACTACCTCATTGCTCAGACGGTTAGGCTAGTTGTGCCCCGCAGGTGCCTTCCAGGTAGAGTCCTCTGGTAGCAGTTGCACTTTTTTTTTTTGCTTTGTTTTTGAGGAGGGCGATTACTGAGGGCCTTACAACTTGTTTGCTTCCGGTAGTCCTTTATCATCACGCCAAGTTTAACATTGTCTGAGTTGGGTCTGTTATCTCTGCATTTACTAGCTCACAGAAAAGGGATGACAACATCTCACGGCTTCCCTGCTTAGTTTAAACTCTTGAGGCTGCAGGTACATAGTTTTAGTGTACTTTTGTGTGCTCGTTAATATGTATGATTTCAAAGGGGCTCAAGGTAAACAAAAGCACACGGTGTAAATATAGTGTGTTTCTGTAATGACTGGACATGGTGCAGGTGGTTGTGGCCAGCAGCAGGGGTTGTGTGGTGGTGATATCATATCAGTTTATATTGCTTTGCCTTAATAGTATTAAAATGGCTGCTTGTTTCAAATGTGTATAAATTGTAATGTTTTGCACTACAATCCATCTTCGCTAGTTAAGCTGACATGCAGCAAAGGAAAGTACACGACTTGTAGTTTAGCACTAATAAAGATGGATCTGGCCTCGGCACTGCCGCTCGGAACGCTTCCACACCCGATCGGGCTGCAAGGAGAGATGGGTAGTGTAGTCTTTGAGGGATTTGTCTTTGTACAAGGGAATTCTCCCTGTGTTTGTGGCGGGTATATCGGAGCAGATAGTACACTGGCATATGTGGGTCAGCCTTTGTTGTGTTTTTGTTACTAATATTTGTGCTTTGTCTTTTCCTTTGAATTCAGATACAGGTTAGAGACAAAAACATGTGTTTCCCTTTTGGAGGGAAAAATGCAGGAAGGTTTGATTAGTATTTGAATGACTCAGGAATCTTTGGTCGGTTCCCATCTGTTGTGCTAGCGGCTCGATTGGCTTTGAGTTCTTTTAAAAAAAAAATGCTTAAAATGGTCATTTGCATTTTTTTCCTTTTGATTTTTATTTGGCAGTTTGTTACGGACCAGTGTGTGGATTATCTGTTACGTTCACATTTTCAGAAATACTAGGCAGTGCATATAATCTAAGCCTTCCTGTGTATGATTAAATCCTTTAAAGGGGACCTATTATGCTTTCATGTTTGTATTCTTGGATTCTACTAGAGTAGCTTTGCATGATTCACTTATACTGGGCTTCAGTGAAGACCCTCGGTTAATCCATCATCTGAAACAAGTCGTTTAAGCTCCCATACCCCTCACTTTGAGCCCGGGATGTCAAACTAATTTTACATGGTGGGCCACATACTGCCCAAATTGGTTTGAAGTGTGCCTGACCAGCAAAACTCCCCTCTCAATCAGTGTGAAGATGTTTAACTACACCTTTAATCCCATTTAATCTAAAAAAAACAAGTGTCAACAGTACATCACAGAGTTTCTACACGATGAAGACATTTTGCAGTAAGTGAATGAAATCTGTCAGCATAAATAAATAAATATGTAAAATTACAGAATAAACATATTTTATTCATTCAAATCATACAAACCTTTATAGGAACCTTAAGATGTTCCAAAGCCGTCCATTGGGCTGGATGGAAGTCTTTGCCTGGCCAATTCTGGGCCTCAGGCTTCATGTTTGACACCCCTGCTTTAATCCAAAAATATTCTGATTGGTTGCCCATCACATTCACAACACTTGAATGGCAGATGGGTGAAGTTTCTGTGTAATATCTCAAAAACAAGATATTGCACTTCATTGGTCCGGTCACATTCAAATCTCAGCAATAAAACCGTATTTTTTTTTTTGTTTGTTTTTTTAAACGGTCTGAAAGTGAATATTCAGAGCAGTCTGAAGCCTAAACTTGACTCATTGCACATACACTGATTTAAAATTTTGAGTCAGTTCAATTTCTGAGCAAGCATCACCACAATGTGACTGGTTGAGATGTGGAGAAGCATAATAGGTCCACTTTAATTCTTCCGTCTTTGTTTCCTTATATGACTTCAAGTGTAGCGCTGTGTTTGTGTTTCGTTAGATGTTGCAGTAAAAGCTCGAGTCTGAGGGTGAGGAAAACTGCTCAAATGAACCGATTCAAAAGGAATGACTTTAGTTAATATTTTCTTGCTTTGTTGTTGTTTTTAGATTGAATTTTTATGTTAAAGTCGAGCTTTTGTGGTAATAAAATGGCACATTATGTATTCTAACAAATGAAAACGTTCATCCCAAAACGGAGATGTTGAAAATGCGATGCCTTTGCTAATGACACCGTCTCCGTCATCCAAGCACATCTCGCAATAAGACCATCAGCCAGCAAAACAACCTTTGAATACAAATTATCAGAAAATTTGGGGTTTTAAAGGTTGTGTTTTGAAATGTTAGCTGAGGATTTCTTGAGTTTTTTGGAAGGAAACATTTGATTTGTCCCTCTTCCTTTGACTTTTTGCATTTCGCACTAACCCTGTGGTCTCTGTTTTAATAGCCCAAGCCTTACTTTACTACTCAGTGTTTAAAATATACATTAAAAAACTGCTTTTGTTTGAAATATGTATCTTTTAAGATGGAAGACTGTACTTTGTATAAAACCTGTTTTTGAGAGGTTTTGGCATGTTTAAAGCAGATTTATGGTATTTATAACTTGTGGCATTCTTGAACTAATGAAATACAATTAAAGATGTCTATATTTATTACCAGATTATGGTCTTGATTTATTTGACTGTCTCTGTTCTGTTAAATTTTGGGTCTGGGAACTTCCAAATGTCGTCCAAGATGCTATAAAAAGTGATGTTTTACTTAATACTAAGGATTATAAACGTGGAGACTTATTGGTCATCTTTGCTCCTCGCGTGAAGGTGTTCAATAGCCAATAGTGTGCGTGCCATTAGGACATGCGCACCAGAGCGTGTCAGACCTGGTCCCGCCTGGTCCCGGAGAAAACAAGGGGTGTGCTTGGGTGCTTGTGAAGCAGCAGCAGCGGCGCATGCGCCCAGGAGAAAATCACGGGCGTCGTGCCTCGCCGCAGCGATTGCAGATTTTTGATGTCAGATTGGAAGGAGTGAGAAGGGGTGAGAGACACTGGGGTCTAACATACCGAGCCCGGTGGAAAAGAGGAGTGGAAACCCGGAGTGTGTAAGAAGAGAAGAGGCGTGTGTGACTCCGACTTAATCCTTTCTTTCCAACTTGAGTCTTACAAGCCTGTCTGCAGATGCAACCTGTCTGTCATCCCATCCGTCCCAGTAATCCCTGTTTATTGCAGCGTTTCCTCCAAAGGGGACTACAATGACACCCTGGTGAACACGCTCAGGATGGAGTAATCATACAAGCACCCAGCGCAGCGCAGGATGCGCATCTCCAACCCGACGACGGAGAAGAAGAAGGTAGAGAAACCTGGCTGTTATTCTGCTTTCGCATGTCAGAGATTTTCCGCGGCGCTGTGGATTGATCGTTTCCGTCATCAGCCTTCTGCTGCCGGTGTCGGTGTATAATGGAGAGCTCCAATGGCTCTGGCAGCGACACCAAACCGCAGAACCACCAGTTGGAGAAGAAGCGACTGAACCGAGCGCCTTCACCGGCCAGACCTTTCCTCAAAGACGTGCACACCCGCGGTGCCAAACCACCTGCCATCGTACCGAAATCCCCCAAACTAAGCAAGCAGCAGCAGTCTGCCACAGTGCCCTTAGCCCACCTGAACCGCAGCTCCAGACGCACCCCGGCCGGAGCCAAGGAGAAAGCAGCCACGGCAAAAAGTAACACAAAGTCTGCCGTCGCGAAAAAACCCACCAAGGTGCCACAGCATGCCGCAGCTGAGCCCAAACCCGCCAGCATCAAGCCGGACTGCACCAGCAGTCCGATCCTCGCCAAAGGCAAGAAGGGAAAACTAGCCTCCGGTTCTCCGGGCCCTCTCAGCCATGGATCCCCGATCCGGGTACCGACCGGAGCGCCTCTCGGCCGAGTCAGCCAGACCGACAGCAGTTCAGACCTGTCAGACTGCCCGTCCGAGCCGCTATCGGATGAGCAGAGGCTGGCACCAGCCGCTAGTAGCGACGCCGAGTCTGGTACCGGCTCCAGTGACCGGGATCAGCTGGGAGCAGAAGCTACAGCATCCACAGCTGCTGCCCCGCCGCGCACAACCGAGGCTTCCGCCGCCAAGGGAAGCAAGTCTCAGGCTCAGCTCGCTCCGGGCTCGCACGGAGAGAAACACAAGCAGGAGAAACCCTCCGCAAGCGCACAATCCAAACTGCCAAGCACCAAGCAAGCAACCGAGGAGGACCTGCAACGGGAAATTGAGGACTTGAGATCGGAAAACGACTACCTCAAGGTATGACAGCCTGATTTCAACAAGTTACAGAAAAATCACTGTTTTTGTGTGTGCATTTTTCCACATTCCATCCAGAGCAGCTATCCAATCAAAATCGGTCCCGTCACAGGACATCTATGGGTTCTTTTTAAGTGTCCTTGAACTTCCACCTGCTCACTAATTGGAAGCATAATTACAATCCTAAGACATTTCCCCATGATGCACAGCTGTCATCCCCACGAAATCTCCGCTCTCCATTCATCATGTCATCACTAGTATTTTTTTAACCTTCCCGGGATTCCCTGCTGGTTTGACCTTTATCAATAGGATTACATTGATAGTGGTTTTTATCCTAGTATGCCCTTTAAAATTTAGGTGTTTCATATTGTTGCTGTCAAATCACCAAAGTCTGTTTTGACAGAAAGTCTCAACATCCATTTTCCACTCTGTTGCATTTGGGGCATACATAAGTACATCTGTATGTGCGCGTAATGATGCGAACACACTGTAATCAGATGCGGTGCAGATCTTATTTCTGCTATTTCTTAACTTTTTGGAGTTGTGTTCAGAACATAAGTGGATGACAAACGAATGCATGTGTCTGCGGATCTAACCAAGAGTTAGATCTCAGAAACCTCAGTTTTTAAGACGGTATACGTATATAATGCTTTGTTTGCAGCTTCAGTGGACCTGTTTATACGCAGAATCCCCCCCCCCCCCCCCCTTTAAGTAGGTTATCCACATAATTTGGGGAGGGGGAGGCAAACAGTTAATGCGGCATACACTCTTGCAGCCTTTTTTTTTAAATTCAATGTTTATTTGCATGTTACTGATGAGAGTATTATTATTATTATTATTATTATGAGAGTTGATCACGCATGTCTGCGTGTCTCTCTGGCTCGGTGGAGACACAAGAGAGTTAATCAGCTTTACTGGCTCCCGCTGTAATGGCTTTATCCCACAGGACTTGATAACAGTCAGATGTCCCATGTGTGCAGGGTTCAAACACCCTCCTGCTTGGCTGTCAGCCTGCCAGCTGGGTCTCTGAGGTCCTTTGCAACCCCCCAGCCCCCATGGCCCAAAAATGTATGGGAGCCCTCATCTCTGCTGCATCTTATCCTCATGGAAAAAATGTTCAACATATTTATTTTTCTTGGGAATTTATTATTTCTGATGGTTTGGCAGTTTTGATTGGGGTGAAGGGAGACAGGGGAGATATAGGGGAGCGATATTTGATAAAATCTGTCTGTTTATACGGTATTTATATACATGACAACATTACATTACTACCAAAAGACAAAAGAGTTGTGTTTTTTTATTAGAGCTGCAGTGATTAATTGTTAATTAAGAGCAAATTAATCAGCGAGCGATCTGATTGTTGTTTTTCAAGCATAAAAGTGGCGGTTTGCTGTTTTTTCTACCCCGTTCAATATTATTTGATTTTGGAAAGTTGACAAGATTAAAAAAATGTTTTTTAAAACCTTTTTATGAGCTTTTTAAAAAAATAAAAATAAATTCAAAGTTAATTATAAAATATATCTGTTTGAGAAGAAGAATAGCTGGAACCTTTTACAGATTATTTTATTATGATTATTATTATTTAATTATCTGACTGACACTTCTGGAAAGATAGGTTACTTGTTTGGTCTATTATTAGTCTATCAAAATTACTTTCAGCCCCATCCACAAGTATTTCAAATGTTTATAAGCATATAAAATGTACCTTTTTATATAGTATAAAAATATAGTTATTTTACTTTAAAAATGTACTAAAATTTCAACTTTAAGATCATGAAAAATCAGTGTTGTTGCTGTTTGTTTGGTCTGTCAATCAATTGGTTGTCTTATTGTTTTAGTTCCACTGGCTTTTTAAAACTTATAGAATGAAATTATATATTCATTAATGATAATAAAATTTTCCATCTATTTCGCTTCATGTTAACCTTTATGTAAATCGATAACATTAGTGTTCTGGATTACTGATTTGACAAAGCATGCTAAAAATGATGGTAGTCAATGTTTAAATATGTCTCCAGCTTTCTGGATTGAACAATAAATCAATTACAAATAAAATAAGTGGCAGGTAAACTGATACGTAAAATCATCTGTTCCAGGTCTTCACTGATCGTGAATACAGTCCGAACAAACATCTCCAACTTTCTTAAAGCAGCTGATAATTCAAAATATCCACCCTTCCAAGAGAGGAAGAAGTAGTGCCGGTGACCCAGCACGCACACCCTTCATAAACATCAGCGATTATACACCTGCTCCCAGGATGTTGCCTTGCCTCTGACTCTTTTAACCTGGTCATCGATTGGCTCGACCCCGTACGAGGTCATTAGCTGCTTCCTCCGGGGCCCTCCTCGTATAACAATGGACTGTGTGCTTTTCCAATCCAAATGAGGATAGATTTAGTTTTCATTAATTGACATACTCATCCCCTCCCTCTCTTTTTTCTCCGTCCAATTGTCTTTTCATCTAGTGGCGCTTAAGTCCTAGGACGAAACGTCTCGGGGGAAATCTACAGAACAAACTGATTCGTCGAGACGGGAGGCAACCTCAGTGGTCACCAAACAAACCTCAGTAGTGCCTCGGTACTGCAGATAAATCTCCCTTTTTCCAGACTGCGATGTTACGTTGATAGGAGCTGGAGAATATGAATGCATCCAATCCGAAGATAAGATGCTTAGAACCAACTAGTAATGTTACATCATCAGCCCTAATAGTACCTGCATTACTGGAACTCATGTAATCATATAAAAGTATTAGTGTAATCTACCACCGTATATTACCGCAGACTGTATCGCCTTTCTTATATTTTTGTATCACACACCATTTAAAATTGATAGTTTAGGACTAAAATACGTGTAGCTGTAAAACGTCATCTTTTTTAGAGTAATGAGAAGAACCAACAATTTCCGTTTTCATTGATGGTTTTGTCAAGTGTTCCACTTACGTTTTTATTACTCCGAGACTCTGGTCAACAGAAAAATAAAACTATTTTTTGTGACTATTTTCTAATTGGATATTTCAGCTGTCTTGTCTGAACTTTCTTTTTTTCTTTTTTTAAGTCCAAGAAGATGAAATCTCTTATTTTGTTCTGAGATGCCGTCTGAGGGAAAAATGACTTATTATTAAAATCTAGCTTAAAGTATGCTTTGAAATTTAATAGTATTTTCTTGCTCATCTGAGGCTGAATATTTTGCAATTTTCTTACATGTTGGTGGTTAATTTATAGTCAACAAAAATACAATATTTTGAGACGATTAAAAGAAAAATCTCCCATAGTCTTCTATTTGCCACTGTGTAGGATAAATCTTAAACTCTAGTCCCTCCTCTGGATAATACAATACTGTCAGCATATTGCAGGTTTAATGTGTGTTATATAAT